AAAAAATCTCTAAATGTTGAATCTTAGCCATAGAATAGGTGTGGCATCGTGTAGTTCTAAAATTCCAATTCTTTTTAAGAAAATGACCTAAACCTTCCCTGCAGTCTAAAGCCTATAAATTTTTTTTTTTTTTTCAATTAGATCATAATGAGTAGTTGTAAGTCATTGTAATTTGACTTGCATACCAATACAATATTTTAAAAAATATAAGATATCATGACGGTTTCAACATAAAAAATCTCTAAATGTTGAATCTTAGCCACAGAATAGGTGTGCCATCGTGTAGTTCTAAAAATCCAATTATTTTTAAGAAAATGACCTAATCTTTCCCAGCAATCTAAAGCCTATAATTTTTTTTTTTTTTTCAATTAGATCATAATGAGTAGTTGTAAGTCATTGTAATCTGACTTGTATACAAATACAATATTTTAAAAAATATAAGATATCATGACATTTCGACATAAAAAATCTCTAAATATTGAATCTTAGCCACAAAATAGGTTTGACATTGTGTAGTTCTAAAAATCCAATTCTTTTTAAGAAAATGACCTAATCCTTTCTAGCAATATAAAGCCTATAATTCTTTTTTTTCCAATTAGATCATAATGAGTAGTTGGAAGTCATTGTATTTTAGCTTGTATAATTTATATGAATAAAGTATTTTAAAGAATGTAGAAAATTATGATATCTTGGCATAAAAAAATGTCTAAATATTGAATTTTAACTACATAATAGGTGTGGTATTGTATAGTTCCACTTATACAGTTGAGATTGGATATGATATCTTAATTTTCACTTTTATGTTAAATATTACTGATGATTTTATGCAATATAGATGCTCTTGCAACAATATTTTTCTTCTGTTCCTTAATCATTCTGATTTTCCTCCTAATGGATGAAAGTTTGCTACAGTGCATAAATTTGTAGACTAAATGCAGCAGCAACAAAAGTTGCACCAATGATAAGAACTTCAGAAAAAAAGAAAAATGTGTGGACGGCATGATGGGACTGGTGAGAGGCTCCAATAAAAGTCATTGCAAGTTGATGTGGACAAAAAAAAAAAAGACTATTGTTAACGTTTTTTTTCTTTTTTTGATCATACTAAAACTACTATTGATAGCATGGTTGATTGCTTTACACACAAACGTATCAGCTTAAAGTAAAGAACGTGGGATGGCTAAATATGAACTTTCTGATAGTATAAGTCAAATGTCAATTAATGTGGGATGGCTAATCGATGGGTGAATTTGTGTTTCTAGTTATAAGAAAAAAAAAAAAAAAGGTGAGATTGTTGATTTTATTGGTCAATATAAATTTACCCTATTTCTGAATTTGTCCAATAAACATCGCAATAAGCTTGTGGAAAAGATTGTTGATTTTTTTTTTTCTGAATTTTCCACAAGTTATTATGAACCCTTGAATTTCCCTATCAACTCGAACCGCTTATTGCAATGTTTGCAAGTTGTAATCTTTTCCACAAGCTTTCCTGTCCAAACGAATGGCCAAAAGAAAGAGCAGTACGGCAAAGTGCACCTCTGATTGGCCAAGTGCGCTAAGTATATTAATAAAAAATTGGTTTTTCTAACTTAGTTGCTTTCAGTCAAGTGGCCAATTAATTTGTAACATGTGTGTAGTGTAATTTTTATTGTATTTTTTTATAATTAATTTGTATAAAAAATATAAATATTAAACAAATAATCAATTAAAATTATTCATGTGATAATGTTATTAAAATAAA